TTTACCCTCTTCCCAAATAAGAGCTATGTTGACCACATACCGAGAAACGAACAAGTAGAAAAATAAGATTTCCTTGAGAAGAGGCTTGGACAGAAGATGTGGTTTTCTGAGATGGTCTTTTATGCTTTGGAATGCTCGCTCATATTCTAGAGTCCATTAAAATCTCTTGTTGGCCCTGAGTATATTGAAGAACGACAAACAATGATCCATTGCTTTTGATATGAAGCGATTGAGAACTATTATTCTCCCATTCAAGCTCTAAACTTGCTTTCAATTAGTGGGACTTTTCATATCTAGGAGAGCTTGGATCTTCTCAAGGTTGACTTCAATTCCCTGATGGTTAACCATATACCTTAGGAATTTCCCTGAGGATACTCCAAAAGAACACTTAAGAGGATTAAGTTTCATTCTATATCTCCGGAGTATATCAAACATTTCCACGAGGTTAGCTATGTGATTTGAAGCGACATGCGATTTGACCAACATGTCATCGACATAAACCTCCATTGATTTTCTAATCTGCTAGCTAGGAAAACTTACGGTTAACCAAACACTAGTAGCTCACCCCAATGTTTTTCAGACTAAAGGGCATTACTTTGTAGCAGTATAATCCTCAATCTATAATATACGAGGTATGCTCCTCATCAAGCATGTACATCGGGATCTGATTATATCTCGAGTAGGCATCCATGAAACTTAACAACTCATGCCCGGAAGTGGTATCAACGAGCTGATCGATTCTGGGCAAAGGGAAATTGTTCTTTGGACAAGCTTTGTTGAGATCCGTGAAAGCAAAATAGGTTTGCCACTTGCCATAAGGTTTCTTCACCAAAATAGGATTGGCGACCCAAGTCGGGTAATGAGCCTCCCGAATGAACCCGATTGAGAGGAGCTTATCCACATCAACTTTAAAAGCAGCATAACGTTCTGGGTCCATAGCTCTTCTTTTCTGGCAAACTTTCCTGACTTCACTATCGAAGTTGAGTGCATGACATATTACATTCAAGCTAATCCCGACCATGTCAGCATGAGTCCATGTAAAAATATCTATATTCTGACTGAGGAAGCTCGTTAGTGAGCTGAGAGTTAAGATTGCTTCCGATTGTCAATGCATGAGTGAGCTCGTTTTGGTCGACTGATACCTTAGATACAGTCTCAATAAGCCCACTGTGGGAATACTCCTCCTTAACACGAGGATCTATGCTATCTTCCAATGGACTTGGCTATGGTTCGATCCTGCTGATCGCCATAGCCTGCTTAGGAATGCCTATTGGCTTTCCTTTCCCTTTGCATGCCATCTGTAATGTTTTTACATAGCAATCACAAAATTCACACTGAGACCCTTTAACTTCCCCACACCCTGTCAAAGTGAGAAATTTTATCTTCAAATGATAGATGAAGGTGACAGCTTTGAAGTTTCGTGTAGAGGTCGTCCCAATATGTCATTAAAAGCAGACATATAGTCTATCACAATAAATTTTGTCATCTTAGTCATTTCGTGGGTCTCAGCCAAAGTGACAAGAAGTGCAATCATTCCCTTGGGAATAAGATGATCCCTAGTAAAGCCATAGAGGGAGATAAAGGCAGGCTTCAAATCTACCTCTTCAATTACATTTCCTCGAATGCTCGTAGGAATAAGATGTTCACGACGCTCCCATTATCCTCCAACATTCTGTGGACTTCGCATCGACCTATTTCAGCCGCAATGATGAGTGCATGCTCATGAGGGTGATGCAATCGTACTACGTCTTTCTCCGAGAAGGTAATCTCTTCCTCTCTATGCACCTTAACAGGTCGTGGTGTTGTATTTAATACACTCACGAGATCATGACAAGCCTTTCAAGCATACTTCTCCTGAGCACCTCGAGAATTCCCCGTGAGGTAAGGTCTTCTAAATTAATACCAACGAAATTGAGACCCTTACGATCACGAATCTTCTTCCAATCGTCCTCTTGATCCTTCTCCTGAGTGGGAGTAGGACCATTAACATACTCCTGAAGTGCCTCTTTTTAATGAGGTCTTCAATAGCCTGCTTAAGAGCTAGATATTTATCAGTATGATGCCCATTATTTCGATGATAACGGCAATACTTCTTATTGTTTCTTATTGAATGAGGATTTTCCATGGGCTTTGGCTCTCCGAGTAGACTAGCTTCTTCTGATTTATCCAGAATAGCTGATACCGATGCATTCAATGGAGTGAACAAATTCTTATCGCAATTGCGACGAGGGACCTAGGCATAAGATTTCTTGGGCTCAAACCACCGTTTCTTTCCCTTTCCTAATCGTCATTAGCCTATTTGCAATCAGGTCTTTTACTACTCTCTCCCAAACTTTCCTCCCTCAGATTAGGAGCGCTGGTCGAAGGACCGAGGTCGTGGCGATTCAAAGTAGCCATTGAATTTTCAATCCTGATATATTTCTTAGTGAGGTTGTAGAAGCAAGTGAGGGAAATATCATCCTCAAATTGCAATTTCTTCCATATGTCGGTTTGTGGGCGAACTCCTATAATAATAAAAGTTTGAACTAAATCTTCGGGTGTATTAGCCACCTTATCTAGCTCCTTGTGGAACCTGTCAATATAGGACTGAAGGGATTCCTCTCCTGCTGTATGTTGCTAAGATAGCTCAACAGCATTGAGAACTTCCTATTAGCCTGGAAGTGTCTCAAAAATAACGAACTCATCTACGGCTATGAGTTGATAAATCCTAGTGGAAGCAATCTAAACCAGCGCTTAGCATGGGCAGTCAGAGTCACTACTAAATAGCGACATTTCCCCAAGTTAGAAACTTGGTGAAGCTCCATGAGGTCGTTAAACTCATAGAAATGAGCCTACGGATCAGAATTCCCATCGAATGCTCGCATATCGAGCATTCTAAATCTTGACGGGAGAAGAGCGATCAAAACTACTGGGGAAAAGGGAGACGCCTTAGCGACCTACTCTCGCTTGTTCTGCTGAGCTCTAAGCTGATCCAAAGCTCGCTGTAACTCCTCAATCTGAGGAAGCGAAGCCACTTGGGGATCACTTTCTGCAATATGGGTTTGCTCCCCACGATTGTGATTAAGGAAAGACCACAGATCAGACTCTTCCATGCCTCGGTCGAAGCCTTCGGCATACCTTGGCACATGCTGGCTGGAGCCATGTGAAGGCACTAAATGGTTTGGGGAGTTATCCTGACCTCCACGGTGGTCAGAATCAGCCTGCGGATGGTAGGTATCTCCCTCGTGGTGATGGTCGGAACATCATTCCGGCGATAATAGAAATCTCCATGTCGTACACTCTTGTGGGGGTGCCCATGCGATGTGGCGTGAGATGGCTCATGATGTGACATACCGCCAAGTCGCAAAGCTACAGGTATTCTACATGCTTCATGACCGGTATTCACTAGGCCTTTCGAGCCTTTTGGCCCATTGTCAGCCACATGTTTTCCCTTGCTCTTATGCATTGTAGTGCGCGTGGTATGAGCTTTTGGCCATTTCCACGCCTTAGTACGACCTCTAGGCATTTTTGGAGGTGGTACCACCTTTTCAAAATTGGGCGGTATGACTTGATCCAAACGATCTAACATTCGATTAACTGTTTGGAGAGTATTATTAAACCTCTCCAGGTAATTCATCACAGTTGGATTGAGCTAGGAGGTCAAGGGGATGTTTGCGGCGGTACCTTGGGGAACTAGCTAGAGGTATTTCGGGAGAAGTAACTCCCTGTACTTGGGGGATCTCCTCATTGTTGGTGCTAGTGTTCTCGGTTTCGAGACCATGAGTCATTTGTTCACAAGTAGAACTGAGTGATCACAAAGTTTGAATGAGAGCGGATATAAAATCTGGAGCACTTCCTCTAGCATCAAACTGTTGATGCGTGATTTTGACACCAACGACGCGCACATGCAAAGTGTTAAGAAAGTCTTAGAAATTACACGTGATTGATTATGAGAGTTTATCAATGTAATTGAATGCAAAGACTGAATAATGAATGAGAAATGATTTTTAAAGTAGTTCGGATGCTTAAAACGATTCCTAAGTCCACTGTTTCTTTTATATATGAGAGATTACAAGAGGTCGCGTATAGTGAACAGCGAGCAGAGGTACAATAACTGAGTATTCAGAGAGAATATCAAGTCAATCTCTTTCTCATAGGTTCTTTGCTCTGAAAATAAAGATTACAATCAGAATCAAAATGAGGGTTCACGATCCCGAAAATGAGAGGGGGAGTCCTCTATTTATAGTAATGGGATTCAAGGTAATTATTACAAATCTGCAAGTGGGTAGGTGTCGTGCAAATCCTTCCTTATCTTCCATTGGCTAATAACTTAGGAAATATCCTCAAATTATCTGAGGCTTGGACAGGTGTGCAGTCCTTAGTAACTTATAGACAAAACCTGGATCTGATAAGTTGATGATAGCCGTATTTTTTCTGTCTTGGGGTAACGTGGCAGCTTCTGGATGGCACAAAACCTTCCTGAACTCTGATTGGTGCTTGCTGGTGTAAACTTATGTCAACCCTGGTTTTTTAGATATAACACTTAGTATTCTACTTTATTATATATATTTCGCTAGATGACGTTAGTGATTGTGTTTCCGCTACATAACGGTTGAGAATGAGAAATAATCCAATTGATAGTTTTGTACACTAGTGGATAACAGGACAAACACGTATGCAATTTATTCAACCCTGTCACAATGCTACTGTACCCACAGTGTCATGGAATTTCAATTCGGCAATGTTTTATTATCGGATTCCTGAGTGGCTAAAAGAATATATTATCAGCTATACTTAGGTAACTAAGTTCAGAATCTTGGAACACCTTGTATTTGGAGGAAACCTAAGCCAAATAATTTATCTCGAATTTTCCAACCTTAAATTTTAAAAACTTATGAATGCTTTCCACTTCGAAATTTCCCGAGGAAATGAAAGAAAGCTATATGTTTATTTCCCTCCTCCTCTGTCTTCTTTCTTTCAATCTCGCAGTTCACACAGAGTCCAACCGAGACTCCATACACATGGAAGCACTAAAGGCCAGCCTGGAAAACTCGAGCATTTTGAAGTGGTTCGACCCGGAACCGTGTAAATGGAATTACATTACATGCAGGCAAAACCGAGTGATTAGGATCCAAATTAACTACTTAAGCCTGGGAGGAAGCCTTCCTCAAGACCTCCAGTACCGTGACGCTTTGGAAATTCTTGAGGTGGCGAGCAACCGACTCAGTGGGCCAATCCCAAGTCTTGCTGGTTTAAGTTATCTTAAACATGCGCAGTTTGACAAAAACTTCTTTTCACATGTGCCCTTTGATTTCTTTAGAGGATTAACGTCATTACGATCTATAAGTTTTGATTTTAATCCAAATATCTCTTCCTGGGAGATACCTGAGAGTTTGAAAGATGCCAGAGGTTTGAAGAGCTTTTCTGCAAATGTTGCTTGTATTTCTGGGACAATTCCGGACTTCTTTTGGGCGGATACATTTCCTCGTTTAAGGCACTTGCATTTGGCTATGAACAATCTCCATGGGAAAATTTCATCGAGTTTTGCCAAGTCTTCGATTCAAACCCTTTGGTTACATGACCAAAATAGCGATTTCAAGCTCCATGGATCAGTTGCAGTGTTGCGAAACAAGACTTCTTTGACTAAAGTTCGGCTTGCTGGTAATTCTTTTACTGGTCCTTTGCCAGATTTATCTAAGCTCATTAGTTTGGAAGAATTGAATTTGAGATATAATTGGTTGACGGGTGTTGTTCCTTTGTCTTTGGCTAACCTTCCTAAGCTTAGTAATCTCTATCTGGCTTATAATTTGCTTCAAGGTCCAACTCCAGCCTTTGTTAATTCTAAACTTGATTCGGATATAGGAAAAGACGCAAATGGATTTAACAGTTTTTGCTTAGATGATCCTGGTGTTGCTTGTGACAGTGGGGTCGAAGTTTTGTTGTCCATTGCAGAGTCTATGGGTTATCCACTGGTGTTTGCAAAGAGTTGGAAAGGAAATGACCCTTGTGATTCCTCTCGGATATTGGAAAGGGATCTCATGTGATGATAAAGGAAACATTAAGGTTGTTAATTTAAAAAATTTGGGGCTTTCAGGTAAAATTTCTTCCAATTTTGCTATTCTTGCATCATTGGAACAATTGATACTTTCCAATAATTCACTTACAGGTCCTATACTGTTAATTTGGGGGCAAGAAATGTGAAAATGAAGAATTCTCTTATTCAATCAATGAGAAGTCTGTTACATTGTTGCTTATATACAAAGAAATAATACACAACCGTTTAACTAATTTCTTCTAACTGTCTTAACAAACTTACAGCTCAGCATAACTAATTTCTAACTAACTAAGTTTTCTTCTATATACATAACAACTTGATCTTTAACACTCCCCCTCAAGTTGGCATCTTATGTATATCTTTCAAGCATAACTTGGACAAAAGTTTTTCATGTTAAAGCCTTCCCAACCCTTTTGTCATCACGTCTGCCACTTGTTCTCCAGTTGGTATATATCTTGCAATGATCAAACCTCCTTGAATTTTCTCTCTTATAAAATGACAATCTATCTCTATGTGTTTTGTTCTCTCATGATACATGGGATTTGCCGCAATCTGCAATGCTGACTTATTATCACTGTAGGATAGAGCAATGCCGGTATTTGGCTTCATCATCAAGCTCTTTAAGCAAGCCTGTAACCAAACAACTCTAACAGCTACAGCCCTGCTTCTATATTTTGCTTTGCAGATGTCTTGCCACAGTATTTTGTTTCTTTGATTTCCAGGACAGAAGAGAATCTCCATCTGATGCAGTATCCTGATACTGATTTCTACTGACTGCGCAAGCTGCCCAATCTGAATCACAAAAGGAAATTAACTCTTTTGTACTTTTTGCGGACGAACAACCCAAGTGCTGGTCCTTTTTCACATATCTTATAACCCTTAATGTGCTTCCATATGTGATTGTTTAGGAGTCTATATGCTGACTTAAAGTCTGGACAGCGAATGAAATGTCTGGCCTGGTCATGGTTAGATATAACAACTCCCACCATTTCCGAATACACTAGGATCTGACAGCAACTCATCCTTTTCAACGGTGGGAACTTTTGATCATACTCATATGAAGTCAGTTTTAGATTTTGTTCAAGAGGAGTGTCAGCAGGTTTTGCAGCAGCAATCCAGCCTCCGAAATGAGTTCTATGGCATATTTTCTGGTTTAAAACAATTCCTTCAGAGGACCTGCAACTTCAATTCCAAGAAAGAATTTAAGGTGCAAGGTCTTTGATTTTGAATTATCCTGCAATATGAACTTCAACTGATCTATCATCTTGGTGCAGCTCCTGTTATCAAGATGTCATCTACATAAACAAGCATGATGACTATATGCTTCTTCTCGTTTGGTGAATAAAGAGTAATCATATTTACTTTGTAGTAACCATTTCTGATCAAGGCTTCAGTGAGCTTGTGATTCCATTGTCTACTTGCTTGCTTCAACCATACAAGGATTGAGCAGTCTGCAGACTGTGTTCTCCCCCTGAGGGCCAAATCCTTGAGGTAAAGACATGTAAACTTCTTCATGAAGATCCCCTTGCAGGAAGGCATTAAACACATCAAGTTGAAAGAGTGGCCAAGCATGAATAGAGGCTAACGCAAGGACTGATTGCAGTGACCATCTTTGCCACCGGGGAGAATGTTCTGTGTAGTCGATACCAGCTTGTTGATTATAACCCTTGGCCACAAGCCGAGCTTTGTATCTCTCTAAGGTACCATCAGAATATAATGACTTTGTAAACCCACTTGCAGCTAATCGGCTGCTTTCCTGCAGGGAGTGGAGTAAGTTGCCAGGTTATTGGCTTCTTATGCAGTGATTTCGGTCTGCATTGCATCAATCCAATTAGGATCCTAAGAAGCTTCAGCAAATGAAACAGATTCCTTGATCCGAGAAATGGAGAAAGGAACAACCTGTAAGATGAAGAAAGATGATATAAGAAAGACATCTGAAATGGAGTAATGAGCTGAAGGTTGTAATGTAATCCTGCAAACAAATTGGAGGGTCTATATGATCTGGCAGAACGTCTGATGTTTACAGGAATGGCGAAGGAGATGCTGGAGCTGAATTGTTGGAGAAGTGGGATTAATTGAAGAAGCAGCAGGGACAAGATCAGTAGTAGGACCAGGACTGAAATGGTCATCTGCAGTAGTAGGATTAAGATCAGTAGTAGGACTAGGACTGGCAGTACTGACAGGAGCAAGATAAGAGTCATACGAAAATAGGATGAAAGGATCACTTGAAAAATGGAGTATAAGATGTTCTCGGAATTGAAATGGAAAAATGTCTTCAATAAATTTGACATCCGGTTGACAAAGAAACTAAAATCTTGTAAGTTCAGCATTGTATCCCTTTTGTGGAAGAGTATCCATAAAGACTGATGGGATGGCCTTGAAACCAAATTTATCTCTTGAGCTTAGAGGATGTGTATGCCAAGCAGCCAAACACGAGTGATCAATTGAAGGAGGAGAACCAAAAGAACTTGATGAGGAGAGCTATCCTATAGCACATCAGTTGGAAGTCTATTGATGATATAGCAGGGTGAGTATACATTCTCCCAATACTTGATTGGAATAGATGCCTGAAATCTCAAGGCTCTAGCAACACTAGTAAGTGTATGCTTCCTCTCTACTATCCCATTCTCTGTGGGGAGTATAAACGCAAGTTTTCTGGTGGATAATCCCAGGGAAGTAAAAAGAGCTGAACACTGAGAGTTGAGAAACTCTAAGCCATTATCTGTTCGAACGTTTTGCAGGCTGAAAATTGAGTCTGGATAGAGTAAGAAAACTCTTAATTGAAGTATGACTTCATGCTATTTGTCATGAGGAAAACCCAGGTAACCCCGGAATGATCATCACTGTGGAAAGTATTTGTAATGATTATGTGTGGAGTATGATATGGTCCCCATACATCCATATGCAACAATGAAAACATGTAGGAGCCCTTGTAGTGCTAATAGGAAAAGGTTTTCTCACATGTTTGGCAAGAAGACAGATTCACAATGGTACTCAGCATTATCAGAATTAAAACTTCTATTTCAGAAAAATATTTCATTTTGTATATGGTATATGACCAAGTCGTATTGCCAAAGCTGGTTTACAGAAGCTAAACACGAAAAATGTAAAGTTTTATTCAAAGTATCAAAGTAGAAACATTGGCCTTGTATGATGAGAAGGCATGAAGAAGTAGAGACCTCTGATTTCTTACCAATCCCCAGGATTTTCCCATTGGAGAGGCCCTGAATATGCAGAAACAGGATAAAAACTGACAAAGCAAGATAAATCTTTGGTGAGCTTTGAGATAGAAATCAAATTATATTTGAAATCTGGCACAATAACACATTATTCAATTTCTGATTGGACCAATATTACAAGATCCAGTATGTGTTACGGTTGAATGATTTCCATTGGGAAGTTGAATGTGGAAGGAGAATCTGTCCCCATCAATTTGTTCAAAGTGTTTAGAGAAGCTGTCATATGGTGACTGGCCCTGTGTCTAATATCAGCAGACTCAATGGTTTAAGGATGAAAAGTAAGAGTGAATACCTGCCATATTAACGTGTGCATATTTGGAGATAAGCAGGTTCCTTTTGGAGCAATTTTAATATCTCTGCATACTGTTCTTTGGAAAATATTGGAGGTGCTGCTGCTGGTTATTATTTTGATGTGATCAGGTAATTCATTAGTGGCAACATTGTTTGCTGATGATGGAGCAGGATTCTTTCGTCTGTGAACTTAAAATCAGCAGGATATCCAATGATCCTATAACAATTATCCTTTTTGTGTCCTTTCATATGGCAGGGTTCACAGGTTATATTCCAGTTCTTTTTGGGTTTGACTGATGTGGTTGGATGAAGAATAAAAACTGTTGGTTCAGAAGAGGATTCTACAACAACAACATTGGATAAACTTCTCTGGCTTTCCTCAGTGACAAGACTAGAGTAGGCTTGGTTGATGGATGGTAAAGGTGCATCATGAGGATTTGGCTTTCCTGCCAAATAAGTCTCATTTAATCCCATCAAGAATGTAGTAACTTTTGATTCTGCATGTGATCTACGTAAACTTTTGACATGGAACATTCACAGGAAGGAAGCTGGACAATAGACGAGTACTCATCCCATAGCATTCTTAGTTTAGAGTAATAAGTGGAGATGGATGAAGTTCCCTGTATTAAGGTGACTATTTCTCTATGTAATTGAAAAAAATCTAGATCCATTCCTTTATCAAACCTTTCTTTCAATCTTCCATACTGATGTGCACTAGATGCATAAACGATGCCACTTAAGAGTTCTTTAGTAACGGAATTCATGATCCAGGAGAGAACTATAGCATTACATCTATCCCATTGATTGTGCAAGCTAACTGGAAAGCTATCCTTGTGTAAGTTCCATAATAAATCCAATCTTATTTTTAGCTAACAATGCAATTCTCATGATTACTCCATAATGAGTAATTACAACACCACTTAATTGAAAAGAAACGAGAACAGCACCTGGAGTTCAGAAGGATGAAGGTAAAGCATGACTAAAATCGATTGTGAGCTCGATTGATCATTTCCATTATTTGCAGAAGATTGCGTCTCTCCGTCTGCACTGACATTTGCATTTTGGAAGAATGAAGATGATAGCTTCTTGATCAAAAGAAATGAGATCAGATAATAGACGAAATCCGAGGAAATGATGAAACAGACGAAACTGATGAATCAGTTAACGAAGCTGATGAAACAAATGGAACTGATGAATCAGTAAAGCCGTGAATTCCTTATGAACAGAGGAAGTTCTTGTGATTTTAGAATTCTCAAACCCTGGAATTCAGTCTGATACCATGTTAATTTGGGGGCAAGAAATGTGAAAATGAAGAATTCTCTTATTCAATCAATGAGAAGTCTGTTACATTGTTGCTTATACAAAGAAAAAACACAGCCGTTTAAACTAATTTCTTCTAACTATCTTACAAAACTTACAGCTCAGATAACTAATTTCTAACTAACTAAGTTTTCTTCTA